GAATATTCGTGATGCACATGTCTTCTCCCAGGCTGTGTAGGGGAGGGCTTTGTAAAAGATGGCTGAGAACTCAGTGCACAGAAAATGGTAGCACTGGCACTTGTGGGCTCTGAAGAAAGGGGGAATTTGAGGATAGAGCAAAGGAAGAAAGGCTTGGATCTTGTCCTCTTTGAACCTGTCACAACTTTCTTGAAATGGGATTGCAAGACCAGCCAGACATGCCTCATGTACTTGATGAGATCAGTCAGTGTTTATTTGATTATCCCCTTACAAGTTAAAAGACTCTGTTATCATATATATTATATGTGATATAGTGCTCTGGGTTAATAAATATTTGGACACCTACTGTGCAGGATGCTGGGGACACACAGATGGATATGCTAGCACCTACACTCAGTGAAATTTTAGGATACTGTTAGAGCACTTCTGTATCTGCTGTCCTGTTTGATCACATAGCAGAGGGACCTTCGGACTGTTAAAATAAAAACAATTTGATAAAATAATAATATGTCCTTCTAGTAGTCAAATATTTGATTCTCACTCAGTCACTGCCCTATTTCTGTAAGATGTTCATTTCCCAGATAGGCATCCAAATAACCCAACGAATTTATACCTGGAGAAATTCTCTTTTTCAAAATGCCTAATTTAAATAAAACATGCAAAAATGACTTATATTTTAAGGGGTATACGTGGAGAAAGACCACAAAATAAATGCCTCTTCAATGAAAGCTATCAGTCAATTAAAATTGTATATTTACTGAGGGCAGTTCTGGCAAGTTTCTTTGGGGTCCTAGACAGAGGACACTGTGAAGGAGCCATAAAAATGTTCAAGATGCAAAGAATTCCTGGTGCATTAGTGGTGGGATATTGACTGTGTGGGAAGAAAAATGTAAAGGAGGTATACAAAAGACACAATAGTAAAGTGAACAGAAAGACCTACACCGAATGATGGGAAGCTCATGGTGGCAAGAAGGCGGTCACATTGGACAAGGAAAGGATTGAATTTGTCGAGATAGTGTAGCCTCTACTCAAAACAAGCCCCCAAATGTATTACAGCTAAAACACAGGAAAAGGTTATTTCTCAGTCACTGAAAAGTAAAAAACAGGGCTCTCTGATCAATAGTTAACTCTGTTCCAAATGGTGGCTTACAGATCCAGATCCTTCTGTCCTATGTGACAGCCATTTTCAACACATGCCTTGTAAGATTGCTGAGCTTGTCCACTTAAAGTGGGCAGAAGGAGAAAGAATAGGGAGAAAGGGAAGTTTGTATAGTCAATCCTGAAAGTGGAGTTCCTTCGGCTAGAACTCAGTCACATGGCCACAGCTAACCGCAAGGGGTCAGGAAACTAGTCCAGCTATGTGTCTGAAAAGATGCATTGAGATTGTTGACCACCTGGAAGTCTTTGCCACAGGCTTTGCTGTATTTCAAATGTTTCTTTCCATTCCAAAATTCATGTTGAAAGTTAACTCTTCCAAAATTTAGGTGTTGCCAACATGATAGGATTAAAAGGTAGAATCATTTAAGAGGTGATTGGCCCATGAGGACTCCTTCCTCATAAATAGAGTTTACAACCCTTAAAAAAAAGATGCTTCGTGGAGCCTGTGACTGGCTTATTTCTCCATCTTCTGCCCTGTGAGGACACAAGAGCAAGGTCTCATCAGCCCCAGTGCAGGGGTCTTGGTTTTGGACTCTCCAGACTCTGGAACTGGAAGATACAACTTTTGGTTCTTTATGAATTACCCAGTCTAGAGGATTCTATTATAGGATGAGAAAAATGGATCATGACAGACTTTAGGATGGCAGGTAATTTAAGATAGGTCTTGATAGTGATTGGAAAATGAGGGTTAACCAGGGTTAAATGAATGGCCTAAGGAAGGACTAAGCAGTCTACAACCATAACAAAAGGTAAGGACATATTTGGAAAGTAGGGAATACTAAAGTTATTTAGGAGCACAGAACATAAGGAAGCATGTGGGAAAAACTTGCAGGGGAGACTGTTTCTATCCCAAAGTCACATTGTTGCAGGTTTTCAAATCTAGGCTGAGGAAGTTCCATCCAGCAAGTTCTTTTTGGCTACCAGGGCTCATGTTCACTTGCAGAATTGTGGCCCAGATTAATTTTCTTCCTTTTCTTTCATACTCTGTCCTTTCTTGAATGTGGATCCTCCTGTGCCTCTGGCATATGGAGGCAGAAGTTAAGGAGAGGGCCTCAGCGTGAGTGACTTCATTTAGAACTTTTGTGTTAAATGATTTGGGAGAGTGCAGGAGCATCCTGCCAAAAACCAGTCTAATGCATGGTATCTTCTGAATGCTGTATTTGGTACGAATCCCAGGTTCAGGAGAGAGAGGAGGGAGGGAGATTCCTTTCTGACCCAGGATACAATCAACTCATGGTCAGGAACCTGGAATTTAATTACCCGTATTGTTATCTTAGCTCGCATAGCTGCAACCATGTCTCATCGTTGTAAAAGTATCCGGTCCTTGAAAATCCAGCCAGTGCCACAACCGGTGACCTCCTGATAGTGATTAATTAGGAAGGGTAGGAACTGGGGAAATCCTTTCCCCTCCCTTCAGTCCTGCCAACTTGGCTTTGAACCTACAAGAGTATTTTGGTCAAAAAATATATATCCCCCACCCAGTACCCTCTCTTTCACCCTCACCTCTGCCCCCATGTTGTATGTTCTATTTGGTAATCATATACATTCACATTTGTTAAATTAATTTTGACCCAGGCTTTTCTATGTGCTGCCCCTGGAAGACTTCTGTGAGGTTTATTCCTTCCTTCTTAAGCTTCTGACCATAAAATTAATGGCTCTGAAAATTCACTTTTGCTCTAAGTTTGAGGAGGGTTTCTTTCATCATTCCTACCAGGATGTAAGTATGATTACTGATCTTTCTCAAATCATTGAAAAAGAGAGAAAGTGGAACCTCTGAGGTAACTCTAACCATCTAAAAGGTGCTTCTTTTCAAAACAAACTTGAAAAAGACTCAGCACACGATTTTCAACCCTAAGCACATTCATGATAATTTGGGGTATGTGGAAAGGGAAGTGTTCACTTCCTGGGGCAAAGGTTTCTAAATTTTCTTTTTCCTGTGCAGCCAGCTACAAACCAAATCCAAACAAGTCATTACTACATTGCATTCTTTATTCTGTATGCATCTCCCTTCCTCTTCTGCACTGATCCTCACTGATTCTTTTCCCTGTAGCTCTTGCCCTCTCAGCCTTCAAAGACTGAAGTCTTGCAGCTGGTAGGCATTTGGTTGTTTTCTATTTCACTTGTCCATACCTGGGGAAAATAAAACACTTGAGGCCAGTGTCTGTGGTACCACGTGTTTTCAGGTCTATATCTCTCTTGAAGAACTAAGACATTTGTGGAAAGAGCATGGTAAATGGGACATGAACAGAAATTAAGCAGACCTGGGTCCAAATTCTAGTATTCTATCTCTGTGGGCCTTTGAATAAAAAATTTGGCCACTCGGAGCCGGAAATTTGACAGTAGTTTTGGGTTTGGGTTGTTTGTGAACGAAATCTAAATACAGTTTATAGTTGTTGTTGACTTCTTTTGTTTGTGAGATTCACTCAAGTTGTTGGTTGAAATAACAGTTTGTTCAATGCAGCTTATGTATCACAAATCATTTGTCTTTTGGACATTTATTTGTGTTGTTTCAGTTATTATAAATTGTGATTCTATGACCATTCTCGTAAAATCTCATGTTCATACTTGGTTGCTTAACATTACATGCTGGGTTCCCCAGGAAGCAGCTCTGACAGAAATTCGCTTATAAAAAGTGTATTTCTTTCTACTTTCAACATCAAAACTACCTTCACAATCAACCCTGTGTCAGGTAGCTGAGATAATCAACTTTAAAAAGGGAAAGGTTTATTTTGGCTTTGGAGGTTTCAGTTCATGGTCAGTTGGCTCTGTGATAAGGCTGAGCATCATGGCAGGATTGCATGGTAAGAAAGTTAACCCACCTCATGGCAGATGGGAAGTGAAAAAGAGAGAAAGAGGAAGATACCAACATCCCACAATCCCTTTGAGGGCATGTCCCAGTGACCTAAAACATCTCACCAGGCTCCACTCTTAAACCACCTTCCAATAGAACCAAGTTAAGGACTGAGCCTTAATGCATGAGCCTGTGGGGGACTTTCCAAATCCAACTACAGCAAAGAGAGTGAGAAGGGAGGATGAGACTGAGAGGAGAGAGAGAGAGAGGAGTGGGACTATACTGAGGTCATTAAAAAGGCCTCTGCTAACTTTTGGGGAGCTGTGGAGTTAAAATGACTCTGCAGAGTTGTACCAAATTGGGAAAGGAAGGCAGACCTTTGGAGATCCCACATTGATCAGTCACGCTGGGTGCAGATTCATCTGGGCAGGGGGAGCATGACTGTGGGTGAGACATCTGTCTTTGGCAGGGAGTGGGGGTCACATCTATAAACTGTCAGCCATCAGCATTCATGGATGCTGATAGAATGAATATTGAAGTCGTAAAATGTCTAAAGTGCGTGCGTGCATGCATGTGTGTGTGTGTGTTGGTGTGAATCTGAGCAGTGCACCACAGTGTTTGCTTCATGTAATTTCTAAGAGTTGAATTGCTGCTTTATAGGATATGACTGTGTTCATCTTTGGTAGATATTGCCAAACAATATTACAAAGTGTTTGTATCCAAATACCATCTCATTTAGTTTCTCATGTCCCCAAGTGTTCTCTTACCAAAAAGGTAAAGAAAAAATTTGTAGACGAGAAACAAATGTGAGAATATTTCATATATCTTCTCAATATTTTCTGTATCATGGAGAAAGAAAAATTGGAAACCACTGGATAAGCTATTTATCCTTCTCTATTGGACATATTGGCATCTTAAAACCTGTCAACACCAGCCAAGTTGGTCTGAAATTTAGTTACAGAGTTAATAGACCTTAGACATCCTACTGTGCTGAGAAAAGAAAGGAAACGAGGTATATGATTTGCTTGTTGCTTCAAATTTCATTTTTCAGAGTGGCCAAATCAATGAAGGTCCCCGTATATGAGACCCCAGCTGGATGGAGATTCTTTTCGAATCTGATGGACTCCGGGCGGTGCTCCCTGTGTGGAGAAGAAAGCTTCGGCACTGGTAGGCTTTGTTGGGATGAGGTTCTGGGGAAAGGGGCTGCAGCACTGTGACCCAAGTTGGGAGACTTGTGAACCTTCAGGGTGAATTTTTAAATATAAGGACTCTTCAGAAAAAAAAGTACCATTATCATATTTTAAATGTTTTTTTTAATCTCCTTATCAGTACTTTAAAGCTATCACTTTATTGTCTTCAGGCTTGCATAGTTCCCAAGAAGTCTGATGTATGCAATTATTTTTTTGGCAGTATTGAGATTTGAACTCACAACCTAATCTTTGCTAACAGGTACTCTGCCATTTGAACCACACCACCAGCTCTAGTAATGTTTTATCTTTACTCCTCTATCAACCCCTGCACTCTGGATGCCTTCTATAGATTTTTTTTCTTAATCTTTGATTTTTCTACAGTTCAGTCTTAATATATATAGAGGTGTGTGTGTGTGTGTATTTAACCCTACTAGAGGCTCTCATGGATTTTGGTGTCTGTTATTCATTGTCCTTCATTCATTTTAGAAAATGCTCATTGTTTTTTGAAATATTCTCCTTCTCCATTTTCCATCTCTTTTCCTTCTAAGACTGCAGTTATACAGTATGTGAGATAATTCATGATGATAGATGTTGCCTCAGGTCTTACATGCACTGATCTGATTTGTTTTATCCTCTTTTCTTTTTGTGTCTCAGTTTAGATCATCTCTATTTGCACTTTGTGTTTTGGAGGGACTGGGGTTTGAACTCAGAGCTTCATGCTTGCAAAACAGGTGCTCTACCACTTGAGCCACACTTTCAGTCCATTTTGTTCTGGTTATTTTCTAGATGGGGAATTATACTCTTGGGCTGGCCTTGAACTGTGATCCTCCAGATCTCAGCCTCCCAAGTAGCTAGGATTACAGGCATGAGCCACCACTATCTGTGGCAAACTTTGGGGGGAGAAGAGGGCAGTATGGGGGTTTGAACACAGGGCCTAATGCTAAGCATACATTCTACTTCTTGAGTCACTCCATCAGCCTTCATTGGCATATTTTTAAGCTACTGGTATTTTCCTTAACTGTGTCCAATCTGCTGATGAGTCTGTTAAAGGAATATTTCATCTCTGATACTGTGTTTTTCTTATTTCTAGCATTTCTCTACCTTTTAAAAATAGTTTTATATCTTCAATGAAATTATCCACCTATTAATGTATGCCTACTGAGCTTTTCAATTAGATCATTTGACACATTAAACATGGTTATTTTAAAGTCTGTTCTGATATTCTAATATGTTTCACTTCTGACTCTGATTCTGTTGATTGCTTTATCTCTTGACAATGATTTGCTTTGTCTCACTTTTTGTGAACATCATAATTTTTTAATTGAATGCTGAACTGTATATGGATAAGAACAGTAGATATACAGGCAAATAGCATTTATGCCCAGAAATGGGCACACCTCTTCCTTTGGGCCAATCTAGTCAACAACTGAGCTGGGCCTGGGTCTTATTGTTTCTGTTATAAACCTCAGTGTACCACATTCCTTCAGCAGTGGAATACTTGATGTACTCAAACAGGGAACAGGGTGATTCAGAAGTTTTTTTTTTTTACTGTTCCAATTTCAACTTTTAGCAGTTATTGCGTATCTGTGACACAAAATAGGTGCTCTGTCACCGGGCTCCTGAGCATTCTGCAGTGGCAATGCCTTCTGCTTAGTATTGGTGTAGGATTCTGAGACCAAGGAAGGGAAAGATGTTTTTACTACTGCCCTATTCAGCAGCATAGGATCTTTGCCTGGACCTTTGTGGTGGGAGGGTTTCAGCTGTTTCACGAGAGACAGGTTCAGCAGGTAGATGGTGGGTGGGTGTCTTCCAGCAGCAGCTACACATGCCTGTACCACTAGTCTCCCTCTCTGTCCTAAGCTTTCTTGACTGCATCCAGAGGGAGCCTGGGAAGGGCTTGAGAGTGTTTTCCTTGTATCCAGGACTCCAAGTGATTAAAAAAAAAAGTGACAGGCTGCACTTGAGCTTCACACATTTATAAAACTCTTTGGTGGTTTATTATCTGCTTGCATGGCAGCCTCCTCTTTCTCTTCTACTCTGTCAAAGGTGGGACTGCTTTGTGTCCTGTCTCCCTGTGGAACAGCTTGTCATTTTAGAATTCACTTTATTGTCTTGGGATCAAGAAAATGTAGATTTCCTGCCTTTTTCTTGTTGCTAGGAATGCAAGATTTTCTCTTTCAGATTTCTGCATTCTAAGCAGAGTACAGAAATGGAACTATGAGGGCTGGTGGAGTGGCTCAAGTGGTAGAGTGCCTGCCTAGCAAGTGTGATGCCCTGAGTTCAAGCTCCAGTACCACCTCCCCTCCCCCCAAAAAAGTGAATAAACAAACAGAACTATGCAAGTAATTTCTTAATAATTTCCTTATTGTCATTCTCTTCTCCCACCCAACAGTTTGTTTGTATTAGGAACCAGGAGGTCTTAACGATATAATTGGTTAATATGTCTCAAGTCTCCTTTGCAATATTTTTTGGCCGTGCTAGGGATGGAACCCAGGACCTTGCACATGCTAGGCAAGTGCTCTACCACTGAGCCACACTTCTAGCCCTTAAGTCTCATTTAATCCGCGGGTCTCCACAGGGCTATATGTCCTAGACAGCCTTGGGTAGCTTTGATTTTTGACATTGCTGTCTTCTTTTCCTTTCTAACTTGATTAGAGACATTGAAACTATTAGATTTTTCTCTAGTTTGCAACCCTTTTAGTTCATTTTACTGATTATAATGTTCTACTTTTCAAAAATTCTATAGTCTCCTTTTAAAATAAAATTTTATTAGGATATATTCATTATAGAGAGGGGCATTTGTAGTGACAATTCTGATTAGATTTATATTGTATATTATTTACATTGTCCCCACCATCTCTCCCCCTCAACTCCCTACCCGCCCCACTTAAAGCAATTGCAAAAGGTGTCTTAGTTCTGTTTCATATAGGTATGTGAAGTCCATCTATCATACACCATCACCTTAGTCTCCTTCATTCACCCTCCGCCTTCCATTCATAACCCCCCTTCCTGCACACACTGTGTCTATTTTACAGTCCTGTTTTTTGTTATTAATATTTAAGTTGATTTTTTTTTGTTTTCCAAGTCTTAAGTTTTTTTTTATAAAAGGTATACAGTCACATATATAATCTATGACTAAGAGATATATTTTATATTTTTTCTAACATTGATTTCTTTTATTTCATACTATCTTATTGCATTGTTACTATCTTCAAAATGATATTAATAACTGTAATTATTCCTAATTTTAATGGAAATGGATTTTGCATTTTATCATCTATTTTGATCATTGCTTTGTAATATTAGTAAAATATGTTTATAAAGATTTTTTTTTCTATTCCTATTTAACTTAGAGCCTTATTAGAAATGGCTGTAGGATTTATCAGGTATCTTAAAGAATTTAATGCTCTGTTGATATATATATATAATGTATATATATGTATCTTTATGTAAATGCAATGAAATATGATTGATTTTCTGATTGCAAACCGTGCTTGAATTCCTGAGAGTTAAGTCCAATTTGGTCATACTTAAACAGATTAAACTACTTTGAATGGTCACAATGACACTGGAATTCATGAAGGAATTTCTTCTGGAACATTTTCTTCTTTTACCAAAATCAGTTACTCCTTATCAGTATTACCATCAATAGCCCAGATGGGATGGCATGCATCTTTGTTACCTTGGATAAAGAGACCTCTCTTCAGTACTACCAATGAACTTAGGATGTGTCAGGGACAGCTTAAACTGTTGAACCTTTTCTCTACAGAGGCCTGACAAATAGATCACCTTCATCTTTGGTGTTCTTTGTGCTTACATCAGAACTCTAAAATCAGAAATTCTGTATTATATATTGTAATTCTGCTCACTAGTTCCAAAATAGCACAAATCCTGCAACTGGAATGGAAACTGGGAAATCCAGGTTAGACTTCTCTGTCTTCATAAGTGTTTATTGAGTGCTTACAAGCTTCCATATGCTTTTACAGCCTCTTTAATTAAGGTGATAAAATATTGCATGTGCAAACTATGTTACACCCTTCCTAATAAATACTTGCTTACTTTTATAATGCACATTTATTCAAAGTGCTTCCAGAGTATAAGGCAGTGTATTGGGTGGTGTGTAGAATGCAAAGTGCTTAAGACAATGCCCTTAAGAATAATAAGAAAGACTCATAGATGACTGTTCTAGGAAATAGAGACTTTAAACAGAGAAGAAGGAAACATGCTCGTGAGATGAGAAAAGGAACAGATGCTTTAGGACTGGCAGTTCAAAGTCAAGTTTATGAAAGAGATGGAAGTTAAGCTAGTGCTTAAAGAATGGGGAGGAGTTGTACACACAGACATGAAAGAGCAATGCAGTGATGTCAATAAAGGAATGGAAGTAGGAAGCAGGGACATGTATTAAAAATAGCCAATTGCTCAGTTTTCTCAAATAATGTTTTTCCAAATTTGGATTGAGACTCATTTGGGGTCATGAGAGTAGTATAATATCTGTTCTTTAAGAAAATATCTGTTTATTTCTTTAAGAAATATAACAGAAGTTATCAGAGTACATCGCATTTAGTAAAGATATTTTGGAAATTGTGTGTACATATATATGTGTATGTATGTATATACCTATATGTACTTATGTATGTGTGCATATTGTAGTTCTCCTGGCAAAATGTATTTGTTGTAGATCATGGTCAAAATTTCTATAAACACTGAATTTTTTCCATAAAAGGCAAGATAATAACTGTTTTAGGCCACACAGAGTCTCTGTCAAAATGGGGGATGGTGAATATGATTGAAGTTTATTATATGCATGAATGAAAATAGAATACTTACACCCTTTAAAATTGTAAGAAAAAAGAGAGGGGACAGGGCATGTAAGAGGTAAATTATCACCATACATATATTATTTGCATGTTTGGAAATATCACAGCAAAACCCTTTTGTACAATTAATATACCTAAGAAAAACATTTTAAAAATTATT